GGCAATGTAAAGCGCTTCAAAGAATACCACACACTCGGTCAAAGCATCCAATCTCTCATCCACTATTGCTCACACAAATCCAGGTCCAGCGAGCACGGCCAACCAAATTCACCCCCCTCCTAAACCACCATTACTTCCTAGAGGTGTGCCCGTTAACGCGCCACAATTTTAGGAAACGTACAAGCTACTACAGGAGCGCCCAAATTCATCCGATCAAAAACGTTTCTAGTACTTTCTACTCTATTTTTTTTTTCCCCGGCCAATGGCTGGGCCAAGTACTCGTGGTTTAAGCCCTTTCCCCTCCCTCCACCTGCATCCCACTCTACTTCTTGGGACCCCACCCCTGCGGCATTTCCACGGCCATCTCTTCGTTGTAACTTCACGGAGTTCGATGGCGGTGGAGTCCACAACTTCACATACATTTTTATATGATGTCATCCACTTATCCAATTGGCTTTCCCTTTTAAAGGATTTCATTAAACTTCATTTTCAAAATTGTTCACATTCACAATAATGAGGTGGATGAACCTACAGTAATTTTGTGTTTGGTGCAAGTACTCTTTGACCTTGCCTTTCCTGAACGCGTGGGCAAATGTCTTCGTTTTTTTTTTCTAATTTAAAATTTCCCCAAAAAGCCCTTTTGCAAGGCCCACTATCCCGGTGGTGGTGAGAGAACCACTGGAATCGAGGCTTTGCCTGTCGGGCTGCTCCATCTATTGGCGGCACCTGCTGCAAATCAGGTCCAGCATCCCTTGGATACACGTCCTTTTGATGCAGCTTTCGTTTTCCTTGCTTCTGGGGCTAAAGCCATTTTACTGCTAGCATCGAACTCCGATCCCTTCTTCTTCTTCTTCTTTTTTTTTTTTTTTTTTTTCTTTTTCCGTTGAGGTGCTGCTAATATTACCCTTATCGTTCTCGAGCTCCCCCTTCTTACCAGCACAGCTCATACCTGGAGAATTGCTGACCGTCCCATCCTGTCCCATATTCCCCTCTACCTACCGTCTTCCCCCGAACACAACGCACCCTTATTTTGGCTGTATCTGGCCGGAAATATAGCTTGTATGCGTTCATTTTTAGGGTGCGTTATGTTCCAGGGAAGATGGTAGTTTGTTCAAGCCGAATACCGGGTGTCTTCAGCTCAACCCTATAGCTGTGAAGCACCCCCAAGGGGGTGGCCTGTTTATCTGGTGCCGCTGTTTTCCTTTCGGTTCTCCTTTCCTTAAACCATCCCTTAAACCCTCTGCACAGGCCAACCTGAATCCGGTCCGACGATTGCTGCTACTGTCGTCTTCTGCAGTCCTATGCCTTCCCC